CTTAATTTAAATTCAATACAAATGATTTCTATAAATATTTAGTCGATTAAAATAACTAATTAATTATAAAAATTAACTTTTTGAATTAAACTATTATAATATATATATATATATATATATTATAATAGTAAATATATACACACATATATATAATATAAGTAAAGATAATAAAATTATAATAAAAATATAAATAAAAATATTATATAATATATGTAAAGTATACATAAAGAATATATATATAATTATATAATATAATTTAATTAATATATATATATATATATATTAAATACTAAACGTTCAACGTCCCCTAATAAATTCGATTTGATGTTTATAAATTTAAAAGGTATTACAATTCTCAAACGTTCAACATCCCCTAATAAGGAGTGTTGAATGCCTTGGGATTTGAATCATACTAAAACACATAAAAGATCATAATCAATCAAATAATATAATATATATTATAATTATTATTATACACATCCTATATATATATATTATAATTATTATTATACACATCCTATATACACATATCTATAATTAATATTTTATTATTTTAAATTATATTATATATATATATATATATATATATATATATATATATATATATACTAGTGTGAACCCGTACAATGCCTTCGAAATTTATTAATATTAAATATTTTTTATTTAAATTATATTATTATATGATATATATTACAAAAGGATATTTTTATTACTTACAATTTATACCATTATATTTATTTAATTTTTGAATACATCTCTTACTTTTTCATTTTTCGTTTTACACTTTTATCACATTAACATACGTAATCGTATATTAAACTATAATACGTCAAAAAATATATTTTTATTTTAACAAGTTACACTGTTATAATCATCTCGTCAATATCGTCAAAATAGTCTAATATTGAATTTTTTTAATACTTAATTATATGATCGTAATAATATAAATATAAGAATAATATAAAATAAAAAGTAAAAAAGGAAGAAAATAAAGAAACTTAATAATATTTATAAAGGTTTAAAGTGTATATTAAAAAATCATATAAAAATATAGACTATTTTGAAGGTATTAATTTATCCATTTATTCATAATATCTAGACCCTATTCACTCTCAATTATATTTAGACACTATTCATCTTGGCATCTTAAGTCACTTCACCTATTCATCTTGGCATCTTAAATATTACATCTTGGCATCTTAAATCATTGTATTGGTTTTACAGAAGAAAAGAGTCGGAGGTTTTCACCATTTTATTGGTTTTACAGAAGAAAAGAGCTAGAGGTTTTAAGTTGGAGGATTCGTTCAAGGATGTGGAGGTAAATAAAAAGATTGTTTGTTTCACTATCTTCCTATCTTTTTCATGATGTATATTCTTTATCTCACTAATATTTGTTGTTTAATGTTCTTTAATGGAGTTTTCAGGTTTGATTTCTTCTGTATATCCATGTTTATGATCTAAAAAACTGAAGAAAAAAAGAGACCTTTTTGTTTATCCCATCTGAGTTTGGAGTAAAAGAGAACATCTTAGAAACTTTGTTGAAAGAAAAAAAAAAGTAGAAATGGAAAGTCGGTATTCAAGGATGGATGAAAAAATCTTCCCTATTGATCTATTTCTATGCAAAACATGAAGATTTGAGACACACAACTTTAGACACAGGGAGATAGCCATAGGAAAAAAAAAATAGAGGGGTAATATTTACTGTATATTATCATTATAATTATTTTAAGTTATATTATATAACTATTATTATACTTTGTTTACTATTCAAAACGTGACATCCATTCTACCGGTATAAAATTTAAAAAATGTTGAATTTGGAAGATGACAATGTGCATCCAAACAAATCAACTGGAGCTTACGGAAACCCWCAACCGTCTGCATTTTCTACCGATACGGTATCTTTAAGTTTCATTTATTCTTGTTAAATTATATGGTATAACTAGTAGTTGTAACTTAAAAAAAGTCAATTTCAGGTGCTTAATTCTCGTCAAGATCTAATTGATTGGGTACACAATGTGRCATTTTCACTTGGTTTTGTTATTGTTATCAAAAGAAGCAAAAGTGACTCACGTTGGGGCCCATCTAAAGTTGTATTGCAATGTGATTGTGGTGCTATACACAAAGGTAACAAAACCTCCAGTAAACATACTGGGACAAGAGAAACAAATTGCCCATTTTGCTTGGTAGGAAAGCATTTGGGTAATGATTGTTGGACGTTAACTGCAAAATGTGAAGTACATAATCATGAATTTTCATTACACCTAGAGGCGATTGTCTGAAACTCAAGCTCTATTGGTGGAAGATTTGTCGGCCAACAATGTGAAACCTAGAGATATTTTATCAACAATCAAGCAGCAGTATCCAAATAACGTGTCTACAAAAAAGATGATATACAATCAATGCCAGAAACTTCGACTTAAGAAGAATGCAGGTAGAACTCCAATGCAAGTTGTGATGTCATTTTTACAAGATGAAGGCTACGTATATTATGATCGGGAAAATGACTCGACCAATGAATTGGAAGATTTATGTTGGGTTCGAGTATGCGCGTTATTGTTGTATTCAAGTTCTCCGTATTTTACATGTTTTGTAATAGCTTAGCTTTATTTCTTACATAGTATAAATAGGAGTTTACTTTGTAGTTGTCATTAGCAATTCATTAATCATTCTGTAATCTGGGTTTAGCTTGTAATTCTCTCTCAATCAATCAAGATACATTTGGTGATCTACTCTCTCTTCATCTTATTCATCTTGTTCTTGAAGATCATTATCATTTTGTATGAGAATTTGGACATTTCAATTGGTATCAGAGCAAGTTGCAGCAGTTTGATTAGAGGATTAAACGAATTTGAACGATTTTTTGTGAATTGATCGATCTGGGTTAATGAAGTTCTTCATCTGTTCATAATTCTTCTTCGTCCAGGATCTGTTTTTGGGCTTAATTTGGTTGAATTTTGATTGTTAATTGATATATTTTGCATCGCTAGATTCACAATTGGATTTAGAACAATTTTGATTCACACTATTTTTGGTTTTAAACAAGTTTTGAACCAGATTTGATCGATTTTTGAGTTTTCGAATACTGTTGAATGTTCTTCAAAATTCATAAATTTTCATGTTTTGATCCAAAAATTTGGTGAAAAAGTGTGAAATTTGTGTTTTTGGTTGATTTTTAGTCCGATTAACTCTTGGTCGATTTAGGTTGTATATCGTTTAAAGCTTGTACGGTTTATACTTGTAATATTTTTGTGTGAATTGATTTTGATCGGATTAGGTTAAACCGGATAACTCTTGTGCGGATTGTTGAGCGATTTAAATAAACCGCTTGGTAAGTCGATTGTGCTTTGTGCAGATTATTGAGCGATTAAGGAGATTCGCTTGACAAGGTTTGTATTTTGTGCGATTTAGTTGAAGTTCGGTTATAGCCTGAGCGAATTGGTAAGCGATTTAAGGGTTAAGGTTGAGCGATTTATTCTTTGATTGAATCTATTAAATGATCGTAGTTTGATTTTGACTATTAAATGATCGTACTTTGACTTTGACTATTGAATGATCGTACTTTGACTTTGACTCTTTGGACGGATTTGTGAACGGATTTTGACTTTGTATTGTGATCGATTTAAATCCTTGACTTTTTGATCGAATTTATTTTAAGGGACTTATACGTATTTTGACTAGTTGATCTTGACTAGTTGACTTATTGACTATTTTCGTCCGAATTTCATTTTGGAATTTTTTACTAAGTGTTGAAATCATCCGATTTGAGAATTTTAATCCAAATTGATTTTTGTGCCTTATCCGTATTGATTTTTGCTTTATCCGCATAAATTTTGCTTAATTGTCTATTTTTGGTTAAGTGTTGATACGTGATAAGTGTGCGATTTAATATTCTTTGTTGTCCGGACTTCTAATCCGGATAACTTCTTAGTTTGTTGAAAAGTTTAAGTATATGTTGTCCGGACTTCTAATCCGGATAAGCTTGACCGGATTCCTAATCCAGATAAGCTTATGTGCTTAATTTTTCTAAGTGTTAAATGCGTGCATATTCTTGTTTGAGATTTATCAGATATTTTTGTATACTGATTCTTTGATACAAACTTTGAGCTGCAGTTGATCCTATATCATACGAACTGATAAAATGAGTTCAAGAGAAGTAATGGCTATTGGTACTGATACCAAGTCACCAGTGCTGTTTCACGGAGACTATAATCAATGGAGAAATAGATTTTTGAATTTCATAGATAGGATGAAGGAAGGAGATCTGATTATGGAATCCTTGATGGAAGGTCCTGTTGTGTACTACTGAGAGATACCTGCTATTCCAGAACAAGGCATACTTGCTCAGACTGTTATCAAAGAAAAATTCAGATATTCAGCTCAAGAAAGAGAAATAGCCTACGCTGATGTGCTTTGCAAGTCCTACATGATGCAAGCACTAACCAATGACATTTACACCAGCATTGATAGTCATAAATCATCTGGTCACAACATGTGGGTTCAAATTGAAAAGATGATGATTGGTTCTAAAGTGGGAACTCAGTTGAAGATTACTAACTGTATATTAGCATATGAAGAATTCAAGGCTAAAGATGGTGAGAGCCTTGATGATGTCTATGATAGGCTTAACAGACTGCTTAATGATTTGACAAAGAACGAAATCTCTAAAACTATAATAGAGATAAATGTTAAATTCTTGAACAATCTTCAACCAGAGTGGAAACCATTTACTAATCATATCAGATTCAATAAATCATTATCTGATATTGATGTTCATGAAATCTATGAAACTCTGAAACAGAATGAGGAAGACGTTTTGGAGATCCGAAATTCAAAGAAGAATAAAGAGAAGCAAGTTGCTGATCCTTTGGCTTTCGTATCTGAGAAGAAAGAGAAGAAAGTAAAAAGCAGATCTGGAAAGCAAGTGAAGGAAGTTAGTCAATCAAGTGAATCTGAAGTAGAAGATAGTAACAGCTCAGATTCAGACTCTGAAATGTCAGAAATTAGACATGCCATGGCAATGCTGACTAAAGCATTCCAGAAGAAATTCCCGAAACGACCACACTCGAACAACCAAAGATTCTCGTCGGGCTCAAAATATGAATACAAAGACAAATTTGTCGAGAAGAAGAAATATGAAGAAAAGAGGTTCGAGAAGAAGTACGAGAAGAAGCCAGAAGAGAAGAAGAAGTTTAGCAAAGGAGTAGCTGATGATAACACTAAATGTTATAACTATGGCAAGCTAGGCCACTTGGCTGTAAATTGTAGAAAGGCGGTAAATCGAAATACCGACTACTACAAGAATAAATTTCTTCTTTCTAAACAAAGAGATGCCGGGAAAGCACTCATGGGAGAGGATGAACACTGGCTGAATCTGACTGATGAAGAAGAAGAAACTGAAGCCGTTGCGCACGTGTGCTTGATGGCTAAAACAGATAACTGTTCTTCAGATGAAGAAGAAGAACAGAGTGCTGAAATGAATGAAGAGGTATCGGAGCAATCATGCATTAAACAGATGCATAAGATGATGCTCAAACTCCAATCTTTCCAGCAAGAATTAAAATCAGAAAAAATGCGTTCAAACAATTTAGAAAAAGAGTTAAAAACGCAAAAAGAAAAATACATCAAACTGTTTGATGAAAATGCTGGAAATTTGGATTGGGCTAAATCTTTGTTATTTGAGTCCAAATTATTTGATGAAAAATCCAATATCTTAAAAGCCGAATTATCTGATTTAAAGGAAAATTATAAATCATTAGAATTAGTTAATGAAGCACAAATAATTAAAATAAGCTTGAACTTCAAATAATTCAATTAAATGAAAAACTGAAGTCTAAAGAGGAAGTTTTATATAAACGAGGAGAAACTGATCAAACCATTTTCCTAAACAAACCATTTGAAGCGAGATTCTTTAACCCTCGGGAAGGGTTGGGGTATGAAAATCCGATTTTTTTAGGAAAAGCTTTATATTATGCCCCGACCTTGTACAAATTTGAATATCTTGATTGCGGTCCCGAGTTTTCGGTAAAATTTAAAAAATCTTCTGATGAGGTCGAACAACGAGAAGATTACAATCGTCAAAGAAAAGATAAAATGCAAGTTCCGTTTGATTATACAAATCTCAATGAAAGTTATAATAATCAAGACTCTGCACTTTCAACAGATTATTTTCACAGTTATTCAAAAGCAGAGCTTGAATCAAAACCAGCTGAACCAAAGCTTTACACTCCTACTCTAATTGTAGAAAAACAAGTGGTTTAGTTGGAAAATATTTTAACTGAAGAAAGACTTTCATTTAATAAACATAAACAAGAATTTTTAAATAAAATTGAAGATTTACAAAATTCTAAAATAAAAATAGAACATGTTGAGTCTGAGTATTTTTCGTGCGAAAAATCTTTGAGTGAAGCCTCCGATTCAGAAGAAATTAATAATTTTAATGAAGAAATTAATTTTCCAAATATCTTAAATTCAGATGTTTGTTTAGATAATGAGATTGATCGTTTTGATTTTTCAAACAATTTACCCAGTCATGAAGATTTTATAGTTAAAAATAATATGACTGAGAATTCCGATTTAGCTTCAGATTTTGAAAAGAATTTTAGTCAAAACCCTGTTTTCGAGAATGTGTATTATAAAGAAAATAAAACTAAAAAGAATTCGAGGAAACAGAAGAAGCTTACAAAGAAAAATAAATAAAAAGTTCGACATTCAATTAAATCTGATAATTTTCTTTTTTCTATTTCAGATAAGACGTTGAAGTATAAGACTATTTGGAGAGTAAAAAAAGAAGACAAATCATCAACTCAACAGAAGAAGAATAATTTTACTAAATCTGTATTAAATGATTCGATATTGAATAATTCTGTAATAAGATATTCAGTTGATGAATTGTTTGATATTWGAAATAGTAAAAATAATTGTTCTCCGTGTAGAGTGAATGAATTACTTAAGTCTTTTACTTCGTTTAAACCTTATCATTTCTTGCATTATGTGCTTTCTACTTTATCTAAGAATCTACATTTTAAAGAACGTTGGTTCGGTACATATAGTATACCACCAACGAAATCTGAGCTTAAAGATCCAAAACTAAAATGGGTACCAATGTTGGTTCGGTACATATAGTATACCACTTTTGCAGGTTAACCGACATGTGTGGTTCTTAGACTCCGGATGTTCTAAGCACATGGCTGGTAGAAAAGAACTTTTAGCTAACTATGTTGAATCTTTTGGAGGTACGGTAAGGTTTGGAAACAATCAATACGCGCCTATCCTTGGATATGGTGACGTAATTTCTGGGAACTCATCTATTAAGAAAGTGTCATTTGTCGTAAGACTTGGACATAATCTGTTTTGTATAGGTCAATTCTGTGATAAAAATCTAGAAGTCTGTTTTAAAGCTAACCAATGCAGCATCTGAACTACTGATGGTAAGGAGCTCTTAGCTGGAATCAGAAGATCAAATCTCTACACGATTGACCTATCAAATACACAAGTGGATACTGACGTCTGCTTGATATCCAAGGCATCTTTAAAGCAGAATC